GTTGGTAAGAATTGCTTCTCTTTTTCAGGGCCTCGTCATTTTAGTTGCAGATATCAATGCAATTTCTCCAGAATGAACTTAATACAGTAGGTGTTTTCCTAATGTGTGGGAAATTGTAATTGTGAAAAGAAAAAGTGAAAATGTCTTGAGTTTCACTCTGAAAAAGATTATGGATGAAGTCAGATTCTCAAAGTAAGGTAACACCTTCCTTATGCAGTCCTTCCTCTTGGTGACTGAGTCAGTGGATTGATCTTAGATTTTTATATCTCAATAGAAATGTGGCATTTCCCCTGCTAACTACCGTCTTGCAATGACTTGAGTCACTGGTTTCTCCTGGGGAGCACTGGTTGTGGATTCAATATCATTTCAACCAAAAATGTCCTATTCAAGTCAGAACCTAGCCCAGTCTGAAATAGTTTGAAATGATATGCAATATTGGCCTCAGGAAATATGGAAAAGCATTCTCAAAAGATTATTTTTATTTATTGAAACAACACCTTTCTCTAAGAATGTGTACTGAACTCACTTTATGGGTACACTCTTATTAATTCTTTCAGTTCTCAGAAAGAGATGGTCAGAGATTTTGACATTCCTGTTCTGAAAATAATTTAGAGGGGATCTGAAGACTTCTGATTTTTCCAAAATTAACTTTTAAAAACCAATACAGTGGTAAATGTATGCTTATATTCTGTGAATAGTATAAGAGCATTTCATCTCACAGGATAAGAGTATTTCATTTATTATAGTCAAGTATTAATCATAGTATAAGAGCATTTCATTTATTATAGTTCAGACAGAATCAAGGCTGATACAAAGGAACACAGATTAGAAAGAGCTGAATGGGTAAAATAAGGCCAATTACTAGATCATTAGCTAGATCAACTATAGATATCACATACAAACTAGATTGTAACTATCTATGTCACTTAAATAAATAGAAGCAGTTATTATTACTATTAAAACTATTGGTGTTGGTTTTATTATTCTCTGTGAAACTAAAGGGATGTAAGGAGGACAACAAGATTGGAATCTAATAAAATTTTACCACTTATGATCAATCCATGGGTTACTGGGAAATCACCTAGCTTCTTAGAATCTCACTTTACTGATCTACAAAATATAAATAGTACACAATATTTTTATTTAAAATAATACTTGTTATCTATGATAACAATCATTATTATTTACAATAATTATTATAAGAGGGATGTTGGAAATATTAAATGATAATTGACATCTAGTAGAATAATAACATCTTTCTGTATGCTATTTATAATATCTGACATATGAGTATGCTTGTAGCAATCTCAAAACCAATCTATTAAATAATAATAGGTAAAAGTATTGCACATAATTTTTATGTTAAAAGGGAGTTTTAGTCATTTGAAACTCATGTAGTGTTAGAAGAAGTTCTAAGATATAGAGAAAGAGCACAGATGTTGGGGGGAACAAAATTTTACATGTGTGTGTATGCAGAGAGAGAGAGGGCAGGGAGAGTGTTACTATTGAGACTGTCTCTTTAGTGGAGAAAGCTAACCCCTAAGTTGGTTTTCAAAGGCATTTTCTATCCTATTTCAAGCCCAGGTATCATTTGTCTAAATTTATCCATTTGTTTTTCTTGTGGATATTCAGTTGTTATAGCATCATTTGTTAAAATGAGTTTTTTCTTTTTTTGGCAGGGGGAGCAGGTACTAGGGATTGAACTCAGGGGCACTTGGCCACTGAGCCACATCCCCAGTCTGATATTGTGGTTTATTTAGAGATAGTGTCTCACTGAGTTGCTTAGTGCCTCACCATGCTGAGGCTGGCTTTGAACTCGCGATCCTCCTGCCTCCACCTCTTGAGCCACTGGGATTATAGGCATGTACCCTTGCGCCCAGCTCACTTTTTTCTTTTCATTTTGTTGCTTTTGTTTTATGACAAAGATTAGTTAACTATTTTTTTGTGAGCCTATTTCTGGATGCTGTATTTTCTCCCATTGATTCGTTTGTCTATTCTTTCACTAGCACTCCACTGCCAATGGTTACTGAAGCTTTATTGTAGTCTCAAAGTCAGGTAGTGTCAGTAGTTCAGCTTTCTTCTCCTTAAACATAGTGTATGCTATTCTAGGTCTTATGCCCTTCTATGTAAGTTTTAGAATCAATTTATCATTCCTCCAAAATAATTTGCAATGATTTTGATTGGAACTGTGTTGATTCTATATATCAAGTTGTTTATAGCATGACATCTTGACAATATCCAGTCTTCCTATCCATGAACATTTATTAGTTCCTGTCTGATTTCTTTTATTACAAGTTTTGTAGTTTTTCTTATATAGATCTTATATTTACTTTGTTAGATTTATAATTTAGTATTCTAGTCCTGGGGGGGTGCTAATATTAATGGGATTATGTTTAAAATCCACTTGTTTATTGCTGGGTATATAAGAAAATGATTGACTTTTTATATTAACTTTATGGCCTGCAAAATTGCTATAATTACTTATTAGTTCCAGGATTTTTTTAAAAATAGCTTTTCTTGCATTTTCTGCATAGATAATCATGTAATCTGTGAACAATGGCAGTTTTCCCTTCTTTCCTAATCTGTATACCTTTTGTTTCTTTTCTTTTCTGTCTTATTGCATGAGCTAAGGCTTCTAGTACCATGTTGAAAAGGAGTGATGAGAGGGAACATCCTTTCCTTGTTCCTGATCTTTGCAGGAAAGCTTCTAATTTCATATCATTAAGTATGATATTAATTATTGTATGTTTTTATAAAAAATATTTTTAATTGTAGATGGATGCCGCAGTCTGGCTGGGCACAAATAACCAAGACGCCACAAAGCCTTGTAGGTTCAAACAGCAACTCTTTATTTTGGAACTCTCACTGGCACTCTACACACACTTCCTGGGAACACACTCCCTCCTCCCTCCACCGGGCTCCGTGTGCCAATTCTCACAGAACCGGTGAGAACTCAAAGGGAACTCCAAAGTAGCGGGTGCCCGAGGCAGCAGGATCCGCCTTAATCCCGGAGCTGCCCTATTCCCAGAGCAGGGTCACTTTTCAACCATTCCCTCTGGCAAAATGCCAGGCGTCATTCCGACTTAACTGTGGCTCTCAACAGATGGATACAATATCTTTATTTTATTTATTTACTTCCATGTGGTACTGAGTCTCAAACCCAGTGCCTCACATGTGCTAAGCAAGTGCTCTACCACTGAGCCACAACTCCAGCCCCATATTGTATGCTTTTTGAAGATGTTCTTTATCAAATTGAGGAAGTTTTCTTCTATCTTAGCTTGCTTAAAGTTTTTTTTTTTTTTAAATCTTGAATCAAGGTTGAATTTTGTCAAATGCTTTTTATTGGTCTAGAAGTGTCATCATGCAATTTTTCTTTTTCTGTCTTGTTGCTATGAGAGGTTATATTATTTGTCTTTCAAATATTGAACACGCCTTGCATATTTGGTATAAATTCCACTTGACCTTGGTGTACAATTCTTTTAATACATTGTTTGATTCAATTCACTAACATTTTTAGTAGTTTTGCATCTACGCTTACAAGAAATATTAGTCTGTAATTTTATTTTCTTATAATGCCTTTGAATGGTTTTGGAATTAAGGTAATGCTGCCCTTCTACAATTAATTAAAAGCTATTCCCTCTCCTTCTTCTTTCTGGAAGACACTATAGGGAGTTGAGGGAATTTTTCCTTAAATGTTTCATAGAATTCACCAGTGAACTCAGGTGGATCTGATATTTCCTGTTTTGGAAAGTTATTAATTTAATTTCATTAATGTTAAACAGCCTATTCAGATGACCTGTTTATTTTGTGTGAGTTTTGGTTGATTGTCTCCCCCAAGGAATTTTTTCATTTTATCTAGGTTATCAAATCTGTGAGCATAGAGTTGTTCCTAGTATTCCTTTTATTATGTTTTTAATACCCATAGGATCTATAGCGATGGCCTCTATTTCTTTTATTTTTATTTATACATTTAAAAATTTTTTTCTATTTCATTCCTGAAATTAGTAAATTGTTCCTCCCCCCTCCCCCTTTCCCCTCCCCCCACGTCCAGCCCTCCCTTCCTCCCTTAAGTACCTTGGTTAAAAAATAACTGACTTGACTAATCTTTTCAATCTTTATGAATCTAACCTCTTTATGGTGTTTTTGCATCTTCTTGCTTTTTAGATCGTTATTACTTCACAGTGGTATCGTTGTCCTTGTTTCTTTTTATTTAATTGATGAATTTTAACCCATTAGATAAGTTTATTAGAATTTGGTGAGGTGAACTTTCGTAACATGAAAATGAAAAAAATGGTTTGAGCTTTCAAAGATTTTTGTCGTGTTTCAGTTCTCTTGACACTATGTGAATTCTTGCTTCCCCATTCTCACTGAGTAGGGCTGTTTCATAACCTATTTCCGTTTAGGTGAGGTGTTTAATAAAATCTTCTACCTGCTAATATTTACCACGTGCATACAATCTATTATGTTAATAAAGACTTTAAAATTATTGCATATGGGTTAATAACAAATGCATTGAAGTTAATGTAAGTAGTCCCTGTGTAGGCTTGGCTCCCCAAGCTGCTCTAGAAATGTCATGCAGAAAAGGCTTTTGATTGGTGGTGAACAGCAACAACACAATTCTGAGTGTGGCAAAGGTCTTGCTCTGAGATCACCTTTCCAGCCAGGCTTTCCCAGTCAGCCAGTACAAAGCCTGCTTGTGCTCCTGGAACGCCTGAAGCCCTGATTTACATTCCCCCAAAGACTTGTTAAACCTGACAGCAAAGAAGTGCTAATAGTCAAGCTGCCGTGTCTGACGTTTTGAAACATGATCTAAACGTCTGTCTCAATGATTCTGTGGTGGGAGAGAAGAGAAAGTTGAGAAAGGACCAACCTTAGCATCCAAGAATGTTTCTGGTATGCACGTTACTGATTTCCAACTAGATTATTTTTAATCGTTGTCAAGGAAGCAATGATATTCTACCATGAAAGCTTACTTAAATTTTCTCTCATTTTATTTCTAGGTGGAGCACCAGTACTCCCATAAATTCACAGTGGTGGTGTTACGTGCCACCAAAGTGACAAAGGGGGCCTTTGGTGACATGCGTGAGTACCTTATTTGCTTTGCTGTTGCAAATGTGTAGTTAACGCTTCACCCTTCAGTTGCTTTACTTCCTTTACAAGGTGGGGGCTTTCCCTTTTTTTGAATGTGGTTAACTTTGAATGATAACCATTGAACAGTCGTCTGATGGTATTATCTGTCAGAATAGCATTTTACTTTGCTTTACATTAGCTGAGAGCATTTGCAGTCAAACAAAAGGACTATCTTGGGACACACAGATTTTTGGAATTCAAAGTTCTGTTTGATTCTCTTTGAAAAAAAGTGCTGAGTCAAGACTTCAAACAGGCTGCCCCTGTGAGTGCTTATCAGATTAGAAAATGCAGTTTATCTAATTCGATGACTTTGAGTGTATTTACTATGGGTGGGATAGCTATAAAAACCGAGCAGGACAGTCAGGAATCATGAACCCCAGCCTAAGGATAAGGTTACCTTAACTTGTTGGCACAATCCATCTTTAAGCTTTTAAAAGCAATTTTTATTGTTAAGCTGACAATGCAGACGGTCGGGGTTCATGGAGGAGGGACTGCCAAAAAAAATGAATAAATATTATCATAGTGGATTTGATAAACTTTTAGATTATTGCCAAACTATGAGCATGAGCAATTGAACCCTCAGAACAAGGTTTGGAGAAAGAAGAAGATTGGGAGTGGGAGACAGGGAAGGCTGCTCTGTGGTATGTTGGAAAAACAAATTGTTTGTCTTGTTTTTCCTCTGCTCTCATACCACAGTCGTGGCAAAAGACTCTGAGACCCATGTGTAAGGATTTCTCACCACCAGCAAGTTAGCAATCAGTTCTGCAGCGGACACCAATGGGGTGTCCTCAAATTCAATTCAGTTCTGACACTTCCTACCTGGAGACGCTGGAGATCCTTCCTGCAAGGTTCCTGTGAGGACTCAGTCTCAAGACTGCTCCCTGCTCCGCGCCCTCCACTCCCTCTAGCTGTCAGCCGGGAGCCACAGGTTGCTTTACCTGTGCGTCTGACCCCTGGCAGTCAGTAGGGTTCCCATAACCCTTTTCTTGGGTTTGATGATTTGCTTGAGCTCCTCACAGAACTTGGGGAACCACTTGCATTTTCTAGTTGATTATGGAGGGTATTATGGATGAAGAGATGCTCAGGGTGAAGTGTAGGAAGGGGTACTTCTGTGCCTTCCCCAGGCATCACCCTTCGGGAACCTTCCATGTTTACCATGTTTACCTTCCATGACCTACAAGCTCGGAGCTCTGTCCTCTGGGTTTTTGCAGAGGCGCCATTGCATGTGTTAGGCAATAGACTGGGAGGAGAAACCCAGCAGAGGCTGTGGGCTTCAGCAGTCTTCCCGGCATCTCTGTGCAGCATTCCTTCCTCCAGGGCATGGGGTAGGACTCTTCTGGAATCAGGAGAGCCTTAGGACCTACTATTGGACAAGGAGTGTAGACCAGAAAATGTCTTTCTGGCCAGCTCTGAAAAAAGAAAGATGAGGGAAGATTAGAGTTTCCTGCCTTGAGAAAGAAATTCTGGTTTCTGTGTCCTACCTTGGGAAAGGAGTTAACGAGTCAGGCGCCATGGGCTAAAACCAAGGGATATATGTCATAATGTCACACCTGCAGAAGTGACATTTAAATCAGTAGCTGAAGGAAAAATATTTTAGTGGTGAGAAAGGGAATTCACAGGCAGAGAAAACAGGATGTTCAGCGGCAGTAGATCAGAGTGCATGTCAGGAGTTAGGTCCAGTGTTGTTAGAGAACAGAAGCCCAGGTGTTAGCTGGAGTGGGGGACAAGATGAGACGACAAGGACTGGCACTGAGGTTATATTATCTATGCAATAGGGAGAATTTGCTAGCATTTCAGCAGCAAGCCACATGACTGGATTTGCACTTAAAAATGTTCTAGCCATGGTATACAAAATATTAAGTATATCCAGTATTCTGGAAGAGAATGTGGAAAACTGTTTTATTTTTCAAAGAATTGGAGAGTTATTGTTCTGTACATACATAAGTATGTAACAACAAATCCCACTAATTACAGTGCACCAATAAGAAATATGGGGAAAAAGAAATAGGAAGGCCTGAGCTTGTCAAAATGGCAGTGAAAACGTCAACAGAGAGGGGAAAGTTAGATACCAAGGAAAAGAAGAATGTGAGCTCTGTTACAGGCTATCAGTGAAGGTAGAAGAGCATCCAGGAAGTTGGTAAATGTCCAAAGTAAGGAGAACAGGAGCTAGAACCTGATGGCATAATTTCTGCCTGAGTAAAGGTTTTTATGACAGGTGAGGGGAACCGTGGCGATCTTTTCAAAACTGGTTTGAAGCTGAGGATTATATTCTCAATTTGAGATCTGAGTCTAATTCATACAATCCACTTTTTTTTTTTTTTTTGCCATTGTTTTTATTAAGCTACTTTCTTATTTTACTTTTAAGATTTCTTTGTATTTTCATCATTTTAAATGAGATTGCATTGGGAGAAAGGCTTCTGTGAAAAGAGAAGAAACATTAGAAGCCAAAATTAAAACCTGCCATCCCCTATGACCTTAAGAAAATGCACAGGCCTTACAACGGAACAGGTCATACTGCTAGCTGAAAACACCATTTTTTTATTCTACTAAACAGGTATCAGTAACTTTCCAGGCATGCAAAAGATGGATCTAATTTGACTTTAAAAAAATGTTGTTCTTATCTCTTAGGCAAAACAGTCCTGCCCTTTTGTATCAATACAGAGTACTGTTGTGCAGAGACAGTGGGCGTCACTGTGCTTATGATGTGTCTGAGAGCAGTTCAGACTATGTAGTCCATGAGGCTCTTTCAACTGATATGGTTTGGATTCCTTAGCAACTGTCACAGATCCTTGACACTTGGCCAGTGCTTATTTTTTGATTATTAGTATAGGGGAAAGAGTGATGCTGGAAGTGTCATTTTGCATCTGTTTGATTCAACATTGATAATAATACTAAAAGCATGAAACCAAGACATTCATCCATCTCATACAACCAGAAACAGGTATCTTTGGATCCCCACAGTGTGCTTGACACAAGTTAGACTCTTCCACTCTAGAAGTTTATTTTACACAGTAAAGAACCCATAGCCAGTGGAAATTAATTGCTACAGAAGAAAGGATAGTGATAAGATATTATGTAAAAACATATATTCAGCACCTTTAATTTGGTTTGTTTTGAGTTATTATGTTTGTTTTGTTTTGTTTGATGCAGGGTAGGAAGGTCACCAACCCATTGTATCAGCTTAATGAGTTTGCGAGAAATTGGGAAGAGACAAGAAGGCAAGAGGGAGTTCTAGAGAATTTCATGATATGGTAGTCTAAGAAAGTGAAAGAATGAGCTATACTGCCAAATACTTTATTTGTAAGTAGTTGTAGGAAGATATATTGAGAAAAGTTATATGTGTACTCTTCTTAGAAGAGTTTCGATGATATTACTGCTTAATGATCTTGATCTATGCAAATCATCAAGAGAGCTGTATTTGGCATTTTTGTATATAACAAATTTTTTTAAAATAGACAAAACTAGAACTGTAATAACTATAACATATCCCAACACCAGGAATATTGATAGATCAAAGTAACAGAACCCTATACCCTATTCTTGTCTTTTTTTTTTTTTTTTTTCAGTACTACCCTATTCAGGGCCACCCTATTCTGTTTTTATAGTGTCTGCACTAATTTAAGAAGGTCAATTTCTATAGCTGGGTGTGGTGGTGCACACATGCAATCCCAGCGACTTGGGAGGCTGAGGCAGGAGAATCACAAGTTCAAGGCCAGACTCAACATCTTGAGGCCCTAAGTAACTTAGTGAGACCCTGTCTCAAAATAAAAATTAAAAAGGCTGGGTATTTAGCTTAGTGGTAAATGCTCATGGGTTCAATTCCCCCAAAAGGGCAAATTTCTATAAATTTCTACAGGTTGGAAAAGAAGAGTGTCAGATTACTATTTGAGTTCTCCGTTTTTCTTGCATATGTAAGGGCTTTCTTAAGGATACCACACAAAACACATCACTATTTCCCGCTAAATAGTTGTATCTCCTTTCTTTGTTTTAGATAGTATTGACTATATCTACTTTTGTTTTATTCTTTGGTAAATTGCCCTATCCTAAGTAGCTGCATTTAGAAATTTCCTTCTGCATTATTGAGATGTCCTAATACAAATGGCAGCATCCCATGAACTCTTCGCAGAGGCTAATCATAGCCTCTGGCCCATCTCCTCCTTTTCACCAGAGGGCATCCAGTCAGCCAAGAACAAATCAGTCACCGTTCTTTCCTAGACATGTTGGCTAGTCTCAGAATCACTGAAGACTGATGCTGAAATACAGCATCTACCTTCAGTGTCCCAATGTCAATCCTGCTCTGCATTATTATGCTCAAGGTTCATATGAAGAAGCTGTCAGTAGTTTACATTTATACCTGACTCAGAATCATTACAAATTTCTTATTTCTAAAACAATCAGTGTGCATCACTTGGGTGATATTAACACAACTCTCAGTTTTAAAGTTACAAGAAGTAGCAATGGATGTGACATGTTATAAATAGCATGGTGACATAGGTTGGGTGCTAGGTGCTGGATGGCTGGGTGTTCAACGCTCTTTAGTGTTGTCTGTTCTGTGATGGAGGAAAGCCTCCTCCAACAGCAGGTTGTGAATTCTACTGTGACAGCAGAATTTCAGTTGGTAATAGCGTTTTCTCTGTGCCTCCATGAAACGAAACACATAAACCTGACCACAAACCTCATTTATAACCAAATGAAATTGCTAACACCAACGCAGTAGTTACTTCGTTGGATTTCTGTTCCTTTTAAGAAGTGCTAGGGAAAACCCAGAGCATGTATGATAATGGAGGCTAGTCTCAGAATTCAGAAGAAGATAGAGCCACATGCCCTTCTGTAAGATGTGATCAGACAGCCAACGCTGTAATGTTCTTTAAAATGACAAAATTTCACATAATTATGAGACACTTTAAAATCCTAATTATGGATACAAACTGAGGTTTCTTTTCTTGTCTGGC